TGGAGAGGAGCAGTGTGGATAAGAGGGACTGAAAGATGGATTGCTGTGACAAGGAGATGGTATTTAAGGGTAGGAAGTTGAAATCACCTGTATTTAGGAGCAAGTAATGGGATTTTCTTACAGATTGGAGCTCATTTGGGAACAAGTGAGAGAGAGAGAGAGGCAGGTGTGGATGTGCTGGACCTTGCCTGAGGCAGAGTAAACAGGGAAATCTGCCCAAAACCCCTTGGGACAGTGCCCCAGGCAGAGAAGGGCAGTGTCCTGAGGCTAAATGGGTATAAATTCATCATGAATAAACTCGGGCTGTGCCTCAGGAGGATGTGGAACAGCTTTCCTCAGGTTGGGAAGCAAAGGAAAATATTTGGACCACTCCCCATCAGCAGAGGGGACACATCCCCAGGGGTGTGAAGGCACCTGGACCTGGTGGTTCAGAGCCTTCAGCTCCCTCTCAGGTACAGGAGCTGTGCAGGGCTGGGAAAGAAAATCTCTGAAGGGGAATAATTCCCAGCTTGATTGACTGGCAGCACTCCCTTAAAGAAAGTAATTATTTAAATGCATATTTAGTTTGTTAAGCCATTGAATATGCATTTACACTGAGCACCTGGTAAATCTGATCCTTTTTTGGTTTGGAAGAAATGTTTAATTGCCCGTCACCAGCGCTCTGGAATTAGATTTATTTTTGTACAGAACCTAATCAGATTGCAAGGAAGATGCTAAAATCTGTTGCTTCACTAACTCATATCAATAGAAATACTAAGGGGGTTTTTTACTACTCTTGGTGGTTTTGATGGGTTATTTTCTGCCATACCTTCTGTTTAAAAGCTTGGAGTTTTGAACTACACGAGGTCTGGTTGGGAGTGAGTTTTGCAATCGCCCCCACTAACATGAATCAAATATCTATAAATACCTTTCCTTTTCCCTTTTCTCCTTTTTTGAAAGGCAGTTTCACCTTGCAGGCAGGAAGAGGTTCTCTTTTCCTGTGATATTTGCAATATTTAAGGCATCAGACAGCTGACCCCAGGCTCTGTCTGGTGACACAATAATTTTCTGTGTACCCTGATGGATTTGTTGTCAGCAGTGACAGGTTGCTGTGAGCAAGGCAGCACTGAGAAGAGTTTTGGGAGGTCTGAGTGTGTGGTGTTCCCACTCTGGGGACCTCTATCATCACCCAATTATAATGTCCTAATTATAGTGTTTGACAGCAGTTGTGGTGATCATTGATAATGGCACTGGTGGCACCTTGTGCTGTTCCCTTAATTTCTCACTTGACAGTGTCCTTGGCTTCCCCAGCACTCCTGGGACTCTCTGCCTTCTCCAAATTGCTGAAAACACGTGTGAGAATCTTTGTATTTTACCTTTTCCAAAGGCACATTTTTTGCTGTGGAGTTCTTTGAAGAAGCTTGCAGCAGGCAAAAGGCAATCTGTGCTCCAGCTCCTCATTAGCTGCTGCCTGACAGTGATGGGTGACCCTGGGAATTCTTGTTCAAGGCTGCTCCTCCTGTTTTTCTCAGCTCTTTCTGCCTTCACATCAGTTATCCATTAAAGAAGAACTTGAGGAAGGAGGGAGGCCCTGCCCATGCTGGATTGGGAAGAGGGTTCCTCCTGCCTGTCACTGCCCAGCAGAAGGTGACCCTTTTCTGCTTTGTGAGTGTGAGAAGCAGCATCTATTCCTGGCCTGGAGACTGACTGGCAGGTGTCACACTGATGGGGACCGAGTCATCTGCCAGCATCGTGCCACCCACTCATTCCCTGGCACAATTCTGGCCAGATTGCTGAGTGCTTTTGTGGCCAAACTCTGCATTTGTATGTGGCCTCAGCCCCACTGCTTCCTTCTGCCAGTGGCTTTGGAGCTCTGGGTGTACGCTCAGAAAATGCACAGGCAGCAGAAGAGGTAAGGGAGGGCTTGGACCTTGCTGTCATTGTCTCTTTTCCCTTTACTGGTCTGTCAGGATGGTTCAGGTTTGTCCTTTCAGTTGTGTTTTATGGATGGTTGAGCTGTGGACTTTGGGAGCTTTTTAAAGTGGAATTTTAGTGTTGAGTTTATTTCTTGACCTTTAATTGATTCCCCTGCCCTTGGCATTGTGTTCCTGAGTTCTTTTGAGCCTGGAGTGATTGAACTGCATGCAAAGGTGCTTCCCAAAAGCAGCTCTGAAGAGCAGGTGGGTTTTACAGGTGGGTTGTGTTTCTGTTAACACTTGCAATCCTTGTTTGTTGTCAGAGGCAGCGAGGGCTTGGCAGAGCAGGATGCAGGGAAAAGCCTCCTGTCCCTTCCCCTTGTTTGCTCAGGTCCCAGTCTGAGCAGTGATGTTAATTAGATAAGTCAGATCCTCTGCAGAGCAGCCTGTTCAAGGACAAACAGATTTTAATTAAGGGCTGTGTGCACTGGAAGGTCGTGTCACTGCCACAGTTACCATGGGAACACTGGGACAGCACCCACAGGGTGTGAGAGTGTCACCAGGTGGGCTCTGGGGCACAAAATTCACTTTGGGGTAGGGCAGATATGGTCCTGCCCTTGCAGTACTTACCTGGCTTTTGGAATGGGAACCTTCACTTCAAGCTCTTAAAATCACCCAAGGAGTTCCACACGAGCTGTACAGCAATTCCATCAATTAGGGAAATCAGTCTCCACCCCAGTTTTTTGGACTGTTTACAGCTGGTGATCTCAATTTCTCAAAGACAACCTGAATATTGGAAAGAGTTTTGTTTGGGTTGAAATTTGAGCTCAAGGTAGTTTGCTTCTGTCTCTGCCACTTTCTAACTGGAATCCAGCATTAACTCCTGGTGGTGGCTCATTCCTGCATTTCAGGTCCTCTCAAGACTCATCCCCACTAAGCTGCCTGCAGTTAATCCTGCTGATTTGTGTGCAGGGTGTTTCTTGCCTTCCTTCAGTCCCAGACAGCTCTTTGGGATGTATCAGCAGAGACTTGTCTATAGCTGATGGTGCAGGATCTACAAACCACAGATGTACCTTGGCACTGATGAAATTTTGGTGGGATCCCCAGGCAGAAACTCATTAATTTTTGTGTGATCTAGCAAGAGGATCCAGCAGAGAGAAGTAAAACGTTTTTAATCTTAATATTTTTCTTCCTGCTATCAAACAGAAGCTGAGGCAGGGACAAATGCTGCTCTGGCACCACGAGCCACTGCACATTTCTCGTATAAACGAGCCACATTTATTTCTTGTATAAATAAAATAGCCACTCAAATGTGGGCTTTGCTTTGGAATGAAATGTTTGAGTGGGAGCTCACAGGAGCTGCTTCACAGCTCCCTTCTCCCTCTTGTTACCTGGTGGCTTCGGGGACAAATGAACAGAGAGGCAGAAGAGGTCACAGGTGTGTTTGGAGGAAGAGTTTAAAACCAGGTTTTGTGCTGTCTTCCTTTTGTTTGGCCAGTCCTTGTGATTGTCCTGCTTTGGAGGATGCCGAGCGTTGGGTGTTTGGAGCCACACGGAGCTGACTCAGCAGGGAGATTGCCAGGGAAATGGGCTTGGATCTCAGGCAGTTCATGGAGGAACTGGCTTTGTTTCCTGGTGGTACAGACAGCACCATTCTGCCTGTTTTAGGGAAAATGTGTCAGGGTTGGTGTTTGCAGTTCCCTGTGCCCCCTGGAGGGATGGGGAGTGGTGCTGGTGAGGGGCAAGAGATGTGGGAGCTGTGTCCTGGAGCAGCAGGAGCTGTGTCCTGGAGCTGTGTCCTGGAGCAGCAGGAGATGTGTCCTGGAGCAGCAGGAGCAGCAGGAGCTGTGTCCTGGAGCAGCAGGAGCTGTGTCCTGGAGCTGTGGGAGCTGTGTCCTGGAGCTGGTGTGTGTAGGGAAGGTTGTCCTTGGCCTGCACAGCCCCTGATGGCAGGGCTGGGCCTGGGCTCGGCTCCTGGATGGTTTTGTGGAATCATCTTCAGGGCCCAGCAGGAAACTGCTCCAGGAGGAGTCAGCTGGGCAAGTTGTGCTCTTGGGCTGGGTACCACAAACTTCCTCCAAGTGCTGAGAACAGACTAGAAACCACCTGTGGGCATTTATTACCTTCTGGCAGACCCTTGCTGTTCTACCTCTGGACAAGGGAGCTCTGTTTTTTTCTCAGCAGATGTCCACCTTTGACCTAGATAGTTTTGACTTTTTAAAATAAATTGAGCAAAAAAGAGAAGCATCAGGATAGAGCAGCAGGAACATGCTGTGTCCATCCCCCTTGGGGAAGGGGCTGCCTTTGCAGCAGGCAGGACATTCCCAATGAAAGCTTGGGAGTCCCTTTGGAGAACTTGGGATTGGCATGTTCTAACAGGGTGACTTAGAGAGGACTTGGTGGAGCACTCAGAGGGGAATGTTTTCTTTCTCTTGCAGCAGTGTCACTGCTCACAGTGCTCTCTCTGACAGCATGGAGTGTGCCAGTGCCAAAGGTGTCAGAAAATGCACGGAGGAAAGCTGGCCTGGAGGCCAGTGTGCCAAGTGCCTGTGGAAAAAGTGACAGCGGGAGAGTTAATGAAAAGCAGACACCGAGTGCTGGGAGCTGCTCAGCCAAGAAAATCTGCACAGTCCAGGGTTTTCTCTGGTATCCAGTAAAAACCTGTTACAATTCGGCTTTTCCTCTCTGTTAGCCAAGGGAAAATGGTTCAGATATAAATACCTGGATATGTGGCTCCTGCAACACCTGGAAGGAAAACAGGTGTTACTCCTGTGATGATTCCATGTCTTGGAGTCAGGAGCCCTGAGTTTCTTGTCCAGATTCCTACTGGGAACCCAGGGGCTGCCTTTGGCTGCTTGCAGATGTGGTCTGTAAATCAGAGAATCTTAGAATGGTTTGGGTTGGAAGGGACCTTGAAGACTGTCTCATTCCAAACCCCTGCCATGGGTAGGGACACCTTCCACTTGAAGGTGGGATCTGGATGCTCCTGTGTTTTGAGTCCAGGGGAAAATTTAAAGGTGTGCAGTGAAGCAAACTGTAACCATTGCAGAGCAGAGTGGCACTGCAGCCAAACTCCTCTAGAAACACTTCCCTTGTTTTTGCAGGATGGAGGCATCCTGCCTGGAGCTGGCCCTGGAAGGAGAGCGCTTGTGCAAGGCTGGGGACTTCAAAGCTGGGGCAGCCTTCTTCGAAGCAGCAGTGCAGGTGGGGACTGAGGACCTGAAGACTCTCAGTGCCATCTACAGCCAGCTGGGCAATGCCTATTTCTACCTGAAGGAGTACTCCAAGGCCCTGCTGTACCACAAGCACGACCTTACCCTGGCCAGGTGAGTGTCAGCACTGCCTCGTCCTCATCTGACCCAGCCTGGAGTGAGGGCAGGTTCTGTGGGGTCTGAACCCAGAAATACACATCCAAAACTGGCCCTGATTGTCCTCTGGAGAACTTGGGACACACCAAGGATGGCTCAGCAGGGAGGTGGAGAAAGGGATGTGGATGTGAGGAGGATGCCTGGTGCAAGAGCAGCATTCAGTTCTGTCCCCAGCTGCTCCCTGTAATGACCTGCAGTCACTGGAGCAGTTCTGAGACAGCAGATAGGGAACAAGGATCTGCCTTCACAATTGTGGGAAGCTCTCCAGCCAGGTGTCTGTGCTGGGAAGTTGCAGCTTAAATCTGCCTGCAGCAGCTGGGGAATAAAAGTCTCTGAGCTATTCAACACCTTCATCTTGTAGAACCATTGGGGACCGAATTGGAGAAGCCAAGGCAAGTGGCAACCTTGGGAATACCCTGAAAATTCTGGGGCAGTTTGATGAAGCTGTGGTTTGCTGCCAGAGACACTTGGACATTTCTCGGGAGCAGGGAGACAAGGTAATGGTGTTCCAACAGGAAATATTTTCTGGCATTAAAAATAACCTGCCTGCAAGTCAGTAAATGTGATCTGGTGAAGGTGGGCTTTGGGAGGAGCTGCAGGGTGAAGCTCTCCCTTCTGGCTGCTATCACACATCTCTTGTGCTGCTGTGAGGGTGAAGATGGGGAAGGAAAATGTGGGATTGTGGTTCTGAAAGTTGGGAAAGGAAAATGTGAGCATGTGGTTCTGAAAGATGGGAAAGGCAAATGTGGGCTTGTGGTTCTGAAAGATGGGAAAGGAAAATGTGGATTGTGGTTCTGAAAGATGGGAAAGGCAAATGTGGACCATCTCTGCCCAGCAGTGGAAATGCTGGGATGTGAAGTGTAACACCTTGCTGTTTCCTGTTCTTCCTTCAGGTAGGTGAAGCCAGAGCTCTCTATAACATAGGGAATGTTTACCATGCAAAGGGAAAGCACTTATCCTGGAGCACAGCCCAGGACCCGGGCTACCTGCCTCAGGAAGTCAAGGACACGCTACAGAAAGCCTCAGAATATTATGAGTAAGTATCCATGCCTGGCCAGCCCCTTCTCCTGCAGGGAACGGGGCCACTGACTGAGAATCTGCAGGTTCTAATAGATTAGGAATATTTCCAAGATGCCAGGCTATGCTGGCAAATTAATCCCAAGGAAGGTGGGGGAAAGATCATTTATAAAATCTGAGCTCAAATTCGCGCTGGCATTGGCTTTGTAAAACTCGCTGTGGTTTGGATGGTGATGATGCAGTGAAGTGCAGGAGTCTGCTGCTTCCCAGAGCTGTGCTGGGAGGCTGAGCTCTCAGCCCTTGCTGCTCTCTGCTGGCCTCTGTGAGGATGGATCCCCGTGTGTCTCCATCCCTGTCACCCACGGGAGGAGTCCCTGTGAAATCCTGGTTCTTCTCAAGGATCTGCACTTTATCTCACTTGTCACAACCTTCCTTTTCTTATATCATTTCAAAGATCACTGTCATGTGCCACACAGGAAGGTTGGCACTGGAATTTTGGGCTCGTGTTTTTCTCCTTGTACTTCAGAGTTCTGCTTTTGTAATGCAGTTTTTTAAATAGGCTTTTTAAGTGAAGAGAGTGATAAGATCTTTTATCCCTCCCCTCATATCTGAGGTGTGATAGTGCCTATAAATAGCTCCCCAGCCTTTTTCCAAGGAGTGGTGCATGTAGCATAGCCAGGGGTAAATTTGTGCCAGTGGTGAGTTCCCCACCACTCTCTGTGTGCTGTGTGTGTAAAAGGGGGTAAAAACAAGGTGAAGAAATGCCAGGAAACTCCCAGAGCAGGGCCCTGGCATGGGACTGTGGATCTTGCCTCTCTCCCTGGAGCAGGATAAGGAAATCTTCCTGTGCCCCTGGTCCTGCAGTGAGGTGGCCATTTCTGATTTAATGTGGGATGGATCAGCACAGGTGTGGTTCCTGCACAGAGCAGGACACAGCAGCAGCACCTGGCTTGGCACAAGCTCCCAGGGGTGGCCAGCACAGGTCACCTGTGCCCGAGTGCTTGGGAGGGAAATGCCTTCTCCAGGGCTGCTCTCCTTCCTTTCTGTGCAGGTTTCCTTGCTGTGGCTCATGGATGTTCTGCCCTGGTTTCTTTCAGGAGGAACCTGTCCCTGGTGAAGGAGCTGGGGGATAGAGCTGCACAGGGCCGGGCTTACGGCAACCTTGGCAACACCCAGTACTTACTGGGCAACTTCAGCGAGGCCATCGCCTTCCACAAGGAGGTAGGAGACACCTCTGCTCCCTTCCTGGGCCTTTCCCTCTCACCACAACCCAGCAAGCACAGGGAGATGTTTCCCCCTGGTGTTTTCCTCCCTCCCGTGTGAGTTCCAGGGTCTGCCCTGTTGTACCAACTCACACTGAGCAAATCTTACTCCAGTCCCCATCAGCAGCTCGAGGGAAGGGTGCTGTTGGCTTGGAAACCAAAGGAGGTATCCAAGGGCAAACTGCAGCTGGGTCTGGCAAGGTTTTTTTTTCTGCTCTTAATTTGTCTCAGTCTAGATTTTAATAAATGCAAGCCATGAATTTAATTAAGCTGCTGAAGGAGCTGTTGATCAAGAATAAATGCTGCTTGTAGAACATAATAACTTTCTGCAAAGCTTTATAGGGAGGTGAGGTGACAAAGTCCCTGCCCCAATCCAAATGCAGTTTAGGTTCTGTTGTAGTGGGTGTAGCAGTTCCCTTGCAGTGGAAGTGGAAATTCACTGCTCCTCTGTTTTTTAAATGCTGGGAGGACAGCACTGGGATGCAGCATCACTCCCACTTTTCCAAGAGCTTTTCCTGAAGCTGAATTGCAGAAGAGGGAGAGGTTTCCTGCTGCACCCACCCCTGACAGGCAGGTTCATCATGGCCTCGCTGGGTGGGAGCTTTGCAGCCCTAAAAGTTGCTCTGCAGGGCAGCTGCTGTGGGACAGGAAGGTGTCAGTGGGCTGGGACAGGAAGGTGTCAGTGGGCTGGGAGAGGAAGGTGTCACTGGGCTGGGACAGAAAGGTGTCACTGGGCTGAGGTGTGACTGAGCTGTGTCTGCTGCAGCGCCTGGCCATTGCCAAGGAGTTTGGGGACAAGGCAGCGGAGCGCAGAGCCTACAGCAACCTGGGCAATGCCCACATCTTCCTGGGCAGGTTCGACATCTCCGCCGAGTACTACAAGTGAGTGCCAGGGGCTGTTCCCTGGGAATCCTGAGCTGTCACACAGTGCCTCAGCTCCAGGGGCTGTGACAAGGGACCTGGGCTGGCAGGGCTGCTGTGGTGGGTGATGCAGGGTGTTGCTCCAAGGGGTGACTTCCCTGTGGCCTGGCAGTGACCAGGGCTCTTCCTTCCCACCTGTTCCCTGCAGGAAAACACTCCAGCTCTCCAGACAGCTCAAAGACCAAGCAGTAGAAGCCCAGGCTTGCTACAGCCTGGGGAACACGTGCACACTGCTTCAAGACTATGAAAAAGCCATCGAGTACCACCTGAGGCACCTGGTGATAGCACAGGAGCTGGGAGACAGGTGAGGGAGGGCCTCAGGAGAGGATGAAGAGCACTGACCCTTCTCTGACTTACTGTTCTCTCTTGCTGGGGTTAAGCACCAGTGATGTGTCTGCTTGAAAGTCATTAGAAGTCTCTGGGCAGCCGGTCCTAAGTCAAATCATCTGCCAGAAACATGACATGATTCACTTTTCTCATGTCATTGAAACCTGGAGATTGTGCCCTCAGTGCTGTGCCTGTGTGGGCTCAGTGAGATTTCTAATGAGAGGTACTTAAGAAAATGCATGGTGCTCAGTGCTTTGCCAGTGGCTGCTGCTGTGTTATCCCAGAAAGGCCTCTCGAGAGCTCCCTCATGTTCACAAAAGTTGTATTTTCCCTAAAATCTGGGTGTTTAGGGCACTCAAGGTGTGCCACTTCCCCTGTTGCTCTGGGCTGATGCTGGAAACCTCCATGTACAAATGAAGTTGTGTACAGATGATGTATCTTGTTTCTTGGTCTTGCTCCTCGTTATTTAGGAAGCTTGGCCTTTTAATTTTTCTTAAATTTTAATTCTTTTTTGAGAGGTTGATTCCTTTTTCCTGGATACTCTGATCCTGAGCCGTCTTGCAGCTGAAATGACTTTGCAGACAGCTGGTTCAGCATCGTGCCAAATTCCCTTGGAGGCTGTGTGTCCTCCACTAGATGGAGCAGGGACATCAGGATGGGAGAGCTGTGCCACCACAGGGCAGCCTCTGCTCAGGGCAGGCACAATCCCACCCAAGGGTGAATCATGCTGAGGGGGTGCAGGCCTGTGGGCTCCTGCATTTCTGGGAACACACCCTGTGAGCAGAAGGTATTGAACAGGGTGACAAGAAAAACGTTGAAATGCTGATCAACCCGCCCAAACCTCTGAAAAGGGAGTTGCAGTCATGCTGAACCTCCCCCCGCGCCCCCAGGTGCTTTTTTTATCCCTTCTCCCCCCACATCTGCTCGTTTGCAGAGCTGAGCAGGCTCTGGGGAGCAGGAGGCTCTGCCTGCTCCTGCAAACAGCTGCTGAAGCTCCAGAGAGCCAGGCTGGGAGCACAGGGTAGGCTCCACGTTCCCCTGCTTTCCCTGGCTCCTGGAAACCAGCAGCAGTGCCCTGGAGACCTCGTGGACATCTGTCCCTGTCCTTTGTTGGGTGCAGCTCGATGCTGTGAGCTCACCCTGCTGATGCAGTGCTGGGGCTCAGCTGGAGCTGGTGCCTGCCTGCAGTGTTCTCTCCTTGCTGGTTCAGCTCTGGGCTGCTGATGAGCCAGAGCTGGATGTTGCATTCTCTCTGTGCAGCTCTGGAAAGGAACCAGAGCTGGATGTTGCATTCTCTCTGTGCAGCTCTGGAGAGGAACCAGAGCTGGATGTTGCATTCTCTCTGTGCAGCTCTGGAGAGGAGCCCTGCTTGTGTCAGGTGGGAGCTGGGCAGGAGCTCGTGGGCTGCTGCTCACCAGTGAAGCCAAACCACCCTGGGCCTTGCTGCAGTGCTTACATTTTGTCACTGTGGCCAGTCCTGCTTCCCAGGCTGATGTTCATCCCCAGTGTAAGAAGAGTTTAAGATGTCCAGCACTCCAAGTTTTCCAGTGTGGAGCCTTTGTGGAGGTGGAAGCAGGGCAGGGAGCCTGGCTGTCAGGCTCTCCTGAAGGCCCTGCTGGGCTTTGCCCAGCATTTCTGTGGTTTGACAGTTTCCTGTTCTGCAGGGTGGGAGAAGGAAGAGCCTGCTGGAGTCTGGGAAATGCCTACGTGTCCCTGGGGAGCCACGAACAGGCTTTGCACTTTGCAAGGAAACATCTTGAAATCTCCCAAGAGGTAAGAGAAGCTGGTGCACATCAGAGGGGACCTGTGACCCCTGGTGAGAGCATGACTGTTTCATGCCAGTAAGTTTTATGAATGCAGTTACCTTGCTGTCACTGCTCTGGAAAGCCCTTCTCTCTGTGCTGTTTCAGTGGTGTTCTCAGGAACTGCAGAGCTTGGCTGGAAAATGCTCTTTTGATGGGAGGTTCCCAGCCTTCCCCTTAATTACAACAAATGTGAGCTGTACTTTGCTCTTAACCAATGTTCTGGATGAGAAAGGACCTGGGCACTTGTCTGCTGGCTGGCCAAGGTGTTGTGCACCCAGCAGGTGTGAAGGCCCTTGGGTGCCTCTCGGTCTCCAGTCTGTAAGATCCCACTTTGCTGAGCACAGGGAGATTCCAGCTGAGTGTCCTGCTGCAGTGGATGCTGGCCCTGGATGCACACAGCCTGCAGCCAGCCCTGTGCCACAGCCACCCCCTTTGGGGTGCTGTGTGTGCTGCTCTGGTTTCACCTTGGCCTTGCCCAGCTGTCTGCAGCTTTCCTGCCATTTTCAGGTGGCTCAGAAGTGCAGAAAGCCAGAATTCCATTGTTTGCTCTTCCCAGTGTGTTGAGGAAATCGGCTGTGGCCTCTTTAGTCTTCCCCAGATGAAGAAATTGCCCTCTTGAAGCACTAATTGAAATCACCATATGTAAGTGTGCTGGGTGTTCTCCTGCCTGTCTTATTAGGTTGGCTAAATCTCTGAGTAGGGCTGACACAGCAGCCTAATTACAGATTTAATTATACTTATCAGACACACAGAAGAAATACTGTTCTTTGGTCCTGTACATTTTAGGACACATTAACTTTCCCAGCTCTGCTCAGGCTGGGGCTGAGTCCTCAGAGCCAGACATCAGCTGAGGGGCCACGGGAGGATCAGGGGTGGTCCAGGGGCCTTTTGGGGGTGGAGGGGAGACCCAGCAGGGTGGGGGCTCCCAGTGTTGTCATTCCAGGGAGCTGGCTGTGGCTCCAGCTGTGCCAGGAGTGGGTTCCTCATGGCAGGTGGCTGCTGAAGTCCCCCCATCAGGAATTATGGAGCAGTGCAGAGACTGTCCCTTCCACAAGCAGCAGGATTTTGGCCAGGAGAAACCTTGTGGAATTCAACCTTTTCACACTGATGTTCATAACTCACTTCCCTTCACCTTCATGCCAACAAAAATCTAATGGTGGCATTTGAATACAAACGAAACCAGCTCAGGGAACCACTGGAAGCTGCTGCAGGTTGATCAGAGGTTACTCACAAAATCCCACTGGAATAAAGGACACGTACCTAAAAGCCTTGGGAGCTGCCCCAGCTCTAGGACACTGCTCTGGAGTGCTTCTGTCATCTCAGAGAGCAGCTCCTGGGAGGCTGAGGGCAGAAAACAGGGCTCTGCTGTGGTGTGTGAGGCAGGTCCTGCCCCGGGTCATCGTCCTGCCCGTCTGTTCTTGGTTGTTAATAGGGCTTTGGAGATGATCTGAAACGAGTGGAAGTCAGGGAAGCACTTAATAATTGAGCATCAAGGACTGTAAGACCTAACATGGACACAGTAATTTCTCTGGAGATGATGTCAACAGCAAATCTCCTGTAATTGGCAGGGGGATTTATGCCTGGTGATAAGCCCTTTGATCTGCCTCCCTTTACTGGCGTTTGGGGCTTTGTCATAAATAATGTGGGGATTTATGGTTTTGTTCCATGCTGCAGTCTGTGGCAGGGGACACAAAGGAGCTGTTGCCAGGCATTTAACAGGAGTCAGGCCTCTCCAGGGGAGCAGCCAAGGTCTTCTCTGTCACACTGGCTGCTCTTCCTCTGAAGATCAGGGGCTGTTCCTGGGTGACCTCTCTGTGTCTGCTGGTGATGTGCAGCACAGCCATTCTCTGGTCTGGTTAAACTTCGAGGAGAATCTGGCACTGTGTCCTAGAACTCCTCATTTTAGGTAGCAGGAGCTGTGGGACAGATCTCTTCCCAAACACGTAACATCGCTTTCCTTGGCCTCAGGCCAGCGAGAGGTGGGAATCGGGAAAAATGTGGACTTCTAAAAGATTTTTTGGAGCATTGTGTGGGTAGATCACTAGGAACAACTTGAAGTTGTATGGCTCTGAGCCAGCAGAGAAGGCTTTCGGGGCCCTGGTGTGCCACTGCCCACGTGGTGGCTGATGGCAGCGGGGTGTCTGGTGCTCCGTAACTATGGAAATCCTTGGGGAAGGGGGCTGGCAGCTCCAGGGCTCCCTGCCAAGCCATGTGTGGCTACAGGACAGCCCAGACCTGCAGCTGCAGGCTCTGTTCTGTAGCAGTGGGTGAGCTGAGCCCTCTCAGTTCCCTGCACTGAGCTGTGTTTGGAGGTGCAGCACGGCAAGCACAGAGCCTTTCCCAAATGATCACTGGGGAATAGTTCTGGAGAGCTGTGGGGTCTCTCGGGTCTCTCGGGTGTCTCCAAGTCCTTTTTGGCTGTGTCTGTGTTTGATTTTGGGGTGGGACTGACACACCCCTGGCTGGGGGCTGTTTGCTTGGAGCACCCCATGCCTTTAACCACTGCCCTGTTGGTTTTCCTGCTGCAGATCGGGGACAGGAGCGGGGAGCTGACGGCTCAGGTGAACATGGCCCAGCTCAGGGCAGCCCTTGGCTTGGGCCCCGGGGAGGAGGACATGGGTGCAGCTCATCCCTACTCTGGCTATGAGGCACAAGGTGAGTTCCTGGCATTTTGGTGGCATTGGGAAGTCTCAGGGGTTATGTGGTGTGGGGTGGGGTTTGCAGGTGGGCAGGAAATACAAATGCTAGAGTAGAGTGAGGCTGTGGAGTGCCTTCACCACAAAGAGGACTGTGATGTGCTCACCCTGTGCTTTCCACAAGCTGCAAAGGCAGGGAAGGATCCCCAAAAAAGGGCACAGAAGGAGTTAATGGAATTAATCTGCATTGGGAATGGAATTCCACGTGCCACTCAGCAAACTGGCTTTTGTATCTTTTAAAGCTCTGCAGGGCTCTTCTCACTGATTTGAGTGTTAGCAGAGGCTTTCAGGAGTGACTGGCAAGGATTTTTGGCTGCTCTTGTTCTGATTAGCACCCAGTTCCAAGCCCAGGGCATGGGCTGGAGGCGGGGTGGGACCAGCAGCACGCACTGGGTGACATCTCACCCTTGGTGAGCAGCAGTGCTGAACGTGGAGACTTGGTCCCAGCAACCAGAGTGGCTTTTCTGGGCCCTGAGTCACTGTGCCAGGGAGCAGGGTAGCACAGACACGTCACCACAGTGCTGCCAGCCTGGCTTGGGGACTGTCCTGGACCTGCTGCAGGCACGGGTGGGTGCCTGGCATGGGCACTTCCAGCTGGCAGCTCCGTGCTGGGGCAGACTTATTAATTCACACCAAGTGCATCCCAGGAGGTGTCCAGTGATTAAATATGACCTTGTTGGCACTGGCACATTCCCTGTTGGTAGCACTGACGTGGAGAGGACGATGCTGGGGCTGAGGCACGGTGCCCTGGGAGGGGAAGGAGAGGCTGGCTGTGCGTTTGTGCTCGTATTGATCTCCCAGGCATAACCTGCTACGTCAGTGCTGGAGCTTTTCCTGGGAAATGGAGTTGTGCTGAGGGAGCCAGCGTGTCCTGCCGTGCCCCATTGGAGCTGAGCTGTTGCCTCAAACGCTGTGAGGGTACAGCAGCTTCCCCAGCCTCCCTCTGCACGTCATCCCCACTTTGTAACTCCTGCAGAACTCATTCCTGGTGTCTCCTCAGGGGCTTCCTTCTGGCAGGTTACTTTGTTGTGAAAGGGGAAGAGGAGATGAACCTCAACGTTGGTGCAGTGCCTGGGTCAGAGGGAAGGGTGGATGTGGCCCGTGGGCTGCTCACTGCCCTCGGGAGATCCAGATGTGCTGTGCTAACATCTGGAGCCAGCAGTGATGTCTCTGTTGTCTGACAGAGCCGTGCAGGTCTGTGTGTGTGATCCCTGGAGGCTGGGAAAGGGCTGAGCAGCTGCAGGCAGAGTTCTGGAGTTTGCAGTGACCCCGTTAATCCATGGTGTCCTTGCTCACATTCCCAGGGCTGGGGCTGTTTGTCGAGAGAAGGACAAAGTGTTCTGGGAGGAACACCAGCAAACAACTGAGATTTGCAGTGCAGGGAGAGAGGGATCTTGGAGAGCAGGATTTCCCCTCTCCAGGTCCTGGGAATCTGCTGGGGAGGTAAAAATCAGCTCTGTGTTGGTGGGTTGGGGCCACAGGCAGGGAGTGTGAGATCACACCTGGCTGAGCTCTCAGGGCTTCACAGGTGGGGAAGGTGCTGGCACTGTCACAGGGAGATGTGCAGAGGAGCCTGACTTCTTCTCCTTAGCTTTTATCCCAGCCTCAGCTCTTACTCCAAACTTCAGTGGAGAATGAGAGGCCACCAGTGTGTCCCTGAGCCCTTGAGGGAATGGAGATGTATTTAATGCCAGCCAGAAATTTTGGTACCCTCCTGTGCACCTATTAAATGATTAGAAGAGCATAATTATTTATATTATTAATAGCAGCAATTTACAGCCAGAGGAACATCTGCTTCTGTAATAGGAAGCAGGTGAGAGAGTTGAGATTCAAGCTGACTTCTGAACCAGCCATGCCTTTTGATGCTGACAAATCTCGTGGTGAGGAGAGCTTTCCATTTCCTTTTTCCCATTCAGATTCTTTTTCCTGCTTAAGGTTACAAAATGCCTGCATATTCCTAAGGATGCTAAAATCCTCTGATAAGGCAGGCATGTGATAAACCCTCACTTTGATCAAGCAGGTAGAGCTTCATAGCAAAGGCTGAGCCAGGTTTTCACTGTGATGTCCTTCACAGGTTACAGAAGTAATTATGCTTTTATGGCTTGGGCACTGCCCTTCCCTGGGCTCTGGGGGTGGAAGGAGTGCCTGATGTTTTCCTCTGCTGCCCTTGCTGAGCTCTTCATGATTTTAATTAATATTCTGAGAGAATTTGGATGTCAGAAGACAAAGCTGGAGGCCGGGGAAGTGGGGCAGTGCTGCAGAAGTCTTGTGAAAGCAGCGACCTTGTTGAGAAACGCAAACACACAGAGCTTAAAGCAACAAACTGAAGGAAGCTGGAGAGGAGCTGGAACACGAAGTAAATAAACAGGGGCTGGGTTTGCTTCTCCAAACAACCAAAAATGTGGCCCTGAATAAATCACCTTTCACACACTGCAAGCTAAGAGTACTGGTAGGCTTTGCCTTTGGAGAGGAGTGAAGGACTTTTCTGTGGCTCCACAGGGTTGTTTTTAGGGGTGAAGGCAGCCAGGGCAAGAAGCAGCACTGGGAGATGTCCTGGGGTGCAGACAGACAGCGCTGGTGCCCTTTTCCAGACGAGAAGCTGCAGCATCCTTGAGGAGCTGCCTGTTCCCAGCGTGGGTCAGGAGCACTGAGCTGACCCTTCCTGCTCCCATCCTGGAGTCAGTGCCTGCCCTGGGAGAGGAAATCAGGTCTGGGGATGCTGATCCTGCCAGCTGGGAGGGGAGCACAGGGACAGGGATCACCCAGGGGATGGAGGTCTGGGCACCCCCTGTACTCTCCACAGTGAGAACTGACTCCAGGCTGCTCTCCTGGTGCTTTCAGCAGCTCATCAGCCTCAGCCATCAGCCACTGGCAGCAGCAGTGGCAGGAGACACTCTGCAACCTCTGCTGGCAGCTGGGGGTGGGTGGGGAGGGCTGCAGGTGTTGCAGGAGGCGTTGGCATGGGGATGCTTCCAGAGCTGCTGGCAGAGCACAGACGCCACTGCCCTGCTGTGCTGGGCTCTGGGGACAGGGAGGGACTCAGCCCTGAGCCTGGCTGGGAGCAAACCCAGTGTGGGAAGTTGCAGTCCTGGAGTACAGAGTGATCTTCCAGCTCTGAGGAATTGCTGTGATGTTGGGCACGTCCTTGATTTCAGTTTCCCCCCACACCTGCAGTGGGCATCAGCTTTTCTCTAACCAAGGCTGGAATAAGCTTATTTGGGTCAAAGAATGAGCCTGGCTTCCCCTTTCTGCTCCTCTCCTGCTGAGAAATGCAGAGGCTGCTCTGTTTGTTCGGGGTTCCAGAGGCTCCACTCTGGGAATGCTCATCCCCCTGTGAGGCAATGGGCACAAAACCCCTCTCCTTCACCCCACTCCTTCCTGAGCACTGCTCAGCTCTGGGGGGCTTTGATTGTGGGGCTCTGCATTCTTGATGCAGTTCTGAGCTCCTCTCTTCACAGGAATCTTTGAACCCTTGGATCAATCAGACTGGAATAGAAATCTGCTTTTATGTTTTCCAGCCTGTTTGTTTTTGTTTGTTTGCTTGCTTTAAATATCTTTGAAGTACCTAAAAAGTGTTTAGGGCTGATAAAATAGGCAGGATTGACCATCCCTCTGCTGATGTAAGCAGGGAGGTGGTGATGCTGCTCCCCCTGCCAGCCTGTGCATGGGGCTGGGATGCTGCCCAGGGACAGGGATCTTCCTTCCCTGCAGTTTGCTCAATCCTCCTGCAGAAAACTGTCAGCTGAGAGATGTGGCCGTGTGTGAGCAGCATCTTGCTGACAGTGGGCCAGCCCTGCTCCCTCAGGCTGTGATTTCACTGTCTGGGAAGCATTTGCCTTCCCTGGGGCAGAGTCGGGGTCACATCCCCAGCAGGGAACCTGCCCGTGCTCACCAGGCACACTGAGAAAGTGCAGCAGTTGAAAGTGCTTAATGTTAAATATCCCCAGCTCTATTTGATTTTTCCCAGGAGCTGATGGGCTGCAGCTCAGCCTTTTTTTTTCATTGTGGAAATGAAAGCCCGAGGCTGTGCTGGTTAATTGTACCTGCTGATGCAGGGGGTGATGGATGAGGTGCTGGAGAAGCAGAGTGGCTTCTGTCCAAGTGGAGGAAAGGGTTGGTGGTCTGGTGGCTTTGTTGTGCTCCAGCAGGTGCTCAGAGGGAGAGCTGAGGCAGATATTCCCATGTGCCTGCAGGAAGGTGTCCAAGAGCTGTCTGTGGTGGCCCTTCAGGGAGCAGGGCAGGAGGGACAGGAGAGCTGCTTCCACAGGGGCATGCTGGAGTGAAGATCCAGGACTTCTCAAAGATGCCTCTTCATTATAATGAGTTCTTTCTGAATCCTCTGCTGTTACAGCTGTTAAATCATTCCAGCAGCACTGATGGGGGGGTTGAACCTCTGAGTCATTTGGATTTTAAACTCAGTAATTTAGCACTCACTTCAGGCTGCCCCAGTATTGGCTTTAGGAAGTTTTAAAATACTCTTCCCAAGTGTTTAATGTTCCTCTCTCATCTTGCTGTGTACATGAACCTCCTTCCCAGCATCAGTGTAAAGTACAGCAGGAGTTCTTGGCTCACAGCAGGGGAAATGCTCCAGGACTGGAGAAGATGATGTTGTGCTACTGAAATTTGTTTTACCTTGATGCCAGGGAAGATGGCAAGTGCTGGAAAAGAGGATGAGGAACAGGCCAATTCCTGAAGCCTGTGGCAGAGGAGGCACAACGTGCCCTGTGCCAAAGCCATCCATTCAATCAAGATTAAATCCCTTGTTGTGGGGTAGGAGAACGTTTTGGAAGCCATTGGTTTTGGGAAGGCTGAAGTTCCCTTTGGCTGCAGTTGCAGGCTCCAGCAGCACTCCCAGCTCTGCTGTGCTGTCTGGATCCTGAGTGCACCTTCCCCAGGCAGTTTCCCTTGGTGGCTGCTGTCCAGGAAATGCTGTGGCTGTGATGCTGCTGTGTCCAACAG